CTGTAGAGAGATCTCTCTTTGGCTCACCGGGCTGGGTCCCTGCTGAGTGACGCAGGAGTCCTGGGTTCGAGCCCCCGACGGTTGGGGGGCCGACCTAATGCGGCAAGGGCGCCCGCCTGAGCCCCCATTGCGTTACAGCATTAAAAATATTAGTTAGCCTCATGGAAGGCAAGTAATATGAATAATGGTGTTACTTAATCTTTAATATTGTTGCTGGCATTATACAGTGGTCTGTTTGTCAGCACACTTTACATACCTCTACCTCTGCTGTACAAAGTTAGAGATGCTCTGATGTTAAAATGATGACAATCGCCCCCTAGAGGCTTTTCTGTACTTCCTTCTGGGATCTCAGTGTTCTCATTGGTCGCAGAGCTTCCTTCACCTGGCCAAAGATTAATTTTCTTTCAGTGGCAGTATGGGTTCTGGACTGCTTAGGAAGGCCAACCATTTATTCTGTTACAAGGAGATGCACTTAAGAGTGGCAGATGTGTGGAATAATAACACTGTCCTGACCTTGAAGTGTATTTGATTGATAAATGACAAATTCCCCTGTCTGAGTCTCGTATACTGTACATTAACATTTAGAAAAAACTTAATATGAGATTAGGTTTCAGCATTTCAGCAGGAAAATTTGAAGTGTTTTGCAGACATGAAAGTGCTACTGTTCTGTTCGAAATGTGTGTTTTGTAGTAAACGTTAAACATAGGTTAAACGTGCGTGTTTTCTTTCCATGGACTTTTGTCTACAGCAGATTGTATAGCATTGTGACTGTGTCCTGGGCGCGATGTTGCCATCGTCAGCTCTGGAATAGTTGGCTGCTGTGGACCATCCACATCTAGTGTGTGAACTGACACTGGGATGAGGGTTCTTTCTGAAGGAATGGCAGTGTATTAAAATTGCTTATAAAGACACCCCCTTTTTTAATGCTGTCTGTCCACACAGCCAAATGTGCTCAGAGACTTGTTCCAAACCGAGTTTTGGCTGATTAATTTCCTGCATCTGCCGTTTCCACAAATAAAGCAGAAATTGAAATGTCACTAATTGTGTGTATTTAATTGTATTTTAGTTTTTAAGTGTTTTGTGTTGGTTGTGGAAAGTATATTGTCTATTTTTTATACATAATGGATGGCACAGACAAACTGAAGTCTAAAACAAAGCACTTGTTTTGTGAAAGACATACTGCTAATGGTTGTTAGCATGTCTAAACCCAGGCAACTCCAGTATATTATTCAGATATTAATGAGCCTGTAAATATTGATATCTACAAGAAGTATGAATATCCATATCTATTGTATATACATATGTTTTCTTCTGCACAGTGCGAAACCTTAATGCTATATTACAAAAGGCTTGTGAAGGAAACATATATATACAAAGGCTGTAAGAACAGACCCTCAATCCTAGTTTCCTAAAGCCATAGGTAATATGTTAAACGCAGCATGTTGGCCACACATTTCTTATACTGTTTTCTGTTAAAATGAAAAAGATTCATTTAGACAAAAGAAAATAAAACACTGCAAAAAGGAAAGTTACCCCCAAGACATTCAGGATATTAACAACATCCCTGCTTAAATGTGTCAAAAACTGATGAAATGGCTTCACCTGTGATAACAGCTGCCTTCCACATATGTGACACTCTCACAATAAACTGCAATGTGGATCATCAAAATTAGTGACTGGAACAACAGCTTATTTAAGGCAGTGATACTAAAACATTTTAAAGTCCTTTAACAACTTTTCGCAGCACACCAAAGGACTCGAAACATAGTCCCAACATCAAGGTATGAAAAAAAAGAACTGCATTCGCTATACCTACTAGATACATTTGAAATATTTTTCCACTTTGTAGGGCATTAGCATGGCTAAATCACCCAAAATGACTTTCTACTATAAATACAGTATATACTGTAGCTCTAGATGATGTAACCAGAAGGATGGAACCCAGAATTAGAGCTTCTATACGCAGCCACTTTATGTTATCCTCCTTGTTTTTGATTTATTTCTATTCCCTGCCCATTGAAGAGGTAGGGATGTGGGAAAAGTTGGATTAGTTTCCTAATTAAGATGCTAAACTTATCTGACCCTCCTGAGCTAGCCAAAATGACCACTTTACTACACACTCAATGGAAAAGCAGGCATTGCTTCTTAAATGTAAGATGGAGGCAGGTTTGGACTACCAATTTGGCCTTGGTTGAAAAGGCAAAATAGAAGTTCTGTTCTAACTAAAAATTGCTGCTGGTTGCTCTTTTGGGTAAAACAATTGATGTTATCGATGTGAAAATGGGAACTAGCATTAATATTCATTGCACAATGCCCCTGACACCTTTTTCTACCACAGATTGGAACACATGTAGAGAGTCCTCAAAAGGAAGAAGGTATTTTCTCTTCAATCAGGTAAACATCTCTTATTAATTACATCTTATTGCACAATGCTGATTACAGGCTAGACGAAGACATGTAGACTCAGATCAAAATATCAATCCAACTTCACTTCTCCGGTCAGTCAATCAGAATGATTTCATACTTTCTCCTCTGCTTCTCATTCTTCCGTTATTCCTCTTTAGATCTTCAACACCATGGTGCTCCCTTTTACAATGGACCTTGTTTTCAGTCAGGTCTTGATGTTGAAACCATTAATGGTACATACAATTAATATTTTGAATTAAAGAATACAGTATAAAAATACAAAAAAACAAGCACTGTCGGAAACATCAATTAATGCCTAAAATGTCAGTAAAATGGTGCCACAACCTTATATTCTCACGGAACACAGTTCGTACACATTGTAAGTTGCTGTATAAAGAGATGTTCGCTTCACCCCTGAGTAGGAAACTCATGTTTCTATACAGCTGCCCACCTTATGTAACACTGGGAAGTGCTGATAACGAAGACACAGCAACCGAGCTGTTAGGAGGACTTGAGATCAGATCAATAGGGTTTAAAAGGCATTGTTGTGGGATGTGTACTCTGGGGAAAAAAATCAACAATCTGGGAGAAAGTGGGAGAATATTTTCAGCGAACAAAAAAATAAATTAAGCTTATGAGAGAGGAGTGTAAATACACCGGCTGACTAACTAGGTTTAAAATAGTGTTTATTGACTGCAGGATACTAAGATAGCTTGGTTTTGACTTCTGGAGTAAGTGTGATGTGCTGTATGTTGACACTAAAATAACTGACCGAAAACAAGCCTCAGGCAAGAATAAGGCTCTAAAGGTCACTTGTCTAGGTGTGTGTGTTGTAAGGTTCTCTCTGTTGAGCTGTCAGCCTTTTCCATCCTTGTCCTTTTCATCACCTCTCCCGGTTGTGAGAGTTCGTTTTACAAGTTCAGCTACCAAAGGCTGACAACATGACAGATTGCTGCTGAGTTTTAATTTAAGCTTTTTCAGTTAGGCTGTCTACTGAAAATATTTCTTTAACTTCTTGTCTTATCTAAATTGGAGATGTATTTTAGATGTTAAAAATGTTTAGAAAGTTTATTATATAAAAAAGAAAAGGTAAAGGTTTTTTCCCAGTTTTTTAAAAACATTATGCTATAACAAACATTTTAAGTAAAGCACTTTTTAGTTTTGAAAAATATTTAGAATGTATATTTTATAAAAAATAAACTTTGAGGTAAAGCATGTGTTTATTGTACTGTATTTAAACCAATTTCCCCTTTTTTAATTTCACTGACTCACTTACTGTATAATGGGCTTCATGCTTGACAGAATGTGTGATTTGACTCCCTAAGCAAATAGGAATGTAACATTGTGGCATTTTTATTAAAGTGCTTTACCCTCTGCATAATGTCTTATATGAATATTAGAAATTACTTTAATTTGGTCCCTGGTGTTATTGTAAACTGACATTTTAATGAGGATGATTAGCACTTGATTTTACCAGCTTCAGGTACTTCATTTATCATTTTCTGGAAATATGAAATATTGTACAGGGATTTATCAGCAAGAAGCTGCTGTTGATCACAACTATTGGAAATATTTTTGGTATATTTTTGGTTTACGTACATAATAACACAATCAAAAATGTCCTTGTGTAACTAAGCAGGTCTTGAAAATCTATGGGGATGTTGAGCTGATCTATGTAGCTGGAGGCAGCTTTTTAAAAATAGCCATGTCTGAATTATTTTTATTTACAGCTGAAATGCTGAAAGTGACAATGGGTGAGTCAGCAATTCAGTTGTCCTACTCAAAGGTAATTACTGCAGCACAGGCCATTAACTTTCAAATGTGTCTCTTACTTAATGCCCCTTTTATTAAATGGCAGTGTTAGATTCTAGTCTCTGCAACATACAGTCTTATTTACAATGCATAACATTTTGAAATAATAATTATATACAGTACATTTAAAATCTTTGTTCCCACAGTTCCTAATTAATTGTATCTTCTCTTTGGAGGCACTTGTCCAACTGAAGTTTCATATGTTTTAGACTCAACTCACAGTTTCTACTTTTAAGACACCAATCATTTCATTGACCAAACTTAAACACTCTTCACATCAGTGTCTAGTGTGTAAGCCATCTGAAGAAAAGTATTAGAATCTGCTGCAGGAAGAATGTTTATATGTCTCGTGCAAATACTATTACAAAAAGGCCATTAGGTTACTTTTTATTTTAAAAAGAAAAATCCATCAAATGGCAGATTTTGTGTCTAGCAGCTATGGTCATGTTATTATCACACAGACAAGGTTACAACGTTTAGGCCAGGCTAAAAAAGACTTGCTCTGCCCCCAGCTCCTCCTGATGGACTGGGAGCCTCCATTTACCCAGAGGTGAGACAAGCTCTGTAGCCCTGATACAACATAGTGAATCTCACAGATAAGGACCAGACTGAGGATCCACCACAGGCACGAAAAAGATACAAAACAACCAATACATTAACTTATTTGTAATCAGCACAAATCTTTTGTTACAGGATAAGGGCAACTGGTAACAAAGTGAAAAGACTTGTGATAGACCTAAACAGAGGTCATGTGACAAGGATCTCCACCAGCCCCTCATCACAATCCTTCCTCTTAAAATATCAGAATGTACCAGTTTTATGGCTATATTATGCATCTATTATGCACTCTGTCAGATGATACTGCCACTATATTGGATACATTAAAACAGCAATAAATGAAATATGGTGTTCCGGTAAATCCATATGGTACTGTTTGTTCAAAAGGTGCAGCTATATCATCCTTTCCGGGCAGATTGCTGTTTGTTAAGTAAACAGTCCCCTGGATGTTAAGTGCCAAGCTCAAAGTCAACTATGCACCAGAATGCCCGTTGCTAAGTGACCTATTGTACAGTAGGTAACTGAAACTAACGTTAGTATGTGTGGGTCTGTTTCGAGTTCTGAACAAGCAGGACAATTAACAAATAAAAAGTGGGTTAATTCTGAAAAAGTGGGTTACCGGTTAACATCACAGAAAATGTCAAAGAGGTATGTTTATTGTTTATATATTTTTTTTTACTTTTTTCTTCATCAGACACCTGACAAAATACATTGCGAATGCTTGACAAATTACTTTGTAGCACATCAACAATTGTCTACATTAAATATTTATATTAGCTAGTATGTTGGGTTTTGTACCTTAAATATGGCCAAAAGAATACCAAAACATTGGTAAATTGATTAGAGAACATTTAGATTCCTTGTTATAAAGATTGCTTCATTTCTGTTTGCTGTTAACAGGGCATTAATACAGAACTGTGTTGATAGGTTTACCTTCCACCTGACAGAGGTTTCTGACAAACATTTCATTTCATGATTAAAGCAGTGGGACTTTAAGTCACCTCCCACGGAGAGCAAGGAGAGCTTATTTACTGTGAGAAAAAGTTCAAAACAATAGGTTTGAGTAATTTCAAAGAGGAAATTTGAGCAATGTACTTCACTTCTTTGATACAATATGTCCATATTAATAAGTATAACTTTTCTAGGTGAAGTTTTCTATTAAAAAATAAGAGTACTACTTAAAAATCTGAGAAAAAAAACAAATACTTACAAAGAGATCCTTTAGCTGTTAATTTTTTATTCATATTGCCTAGTGCTTTCCTATAACTCAATAATAGCCTCTCTGTTGTTCAAACAGCATGCCAGTATCAAAACAGATCAACTCTGTCAAAGGTAAGTCTTGGGCCTGTGGCCTCTTTACAGATAAATGAATTGTTAAAGCATACTGTTTGCAATTACACATCCACTTACACTCATATGTGTCATCAATCCTTGTGCAGAGTTCTGTTTTCATCATTATTCCATGTCAGAGATGCTTTGTACCAGTAGCCACTTGTCTCCAAAAAAGATTAACACACATTCCCTTGTGAATCTGGCCCTTGCAGTATCATATCCGTTTCTTGCAGGCACTTTACCTTGTTTGATTGATTACCAAGGTTTCAGGGAAAAGGACAAATACAGTAAGTATTAGTACATGTAATACCAAATGTGGCTGTTTTGTCATTTTATTTTCCTCACATGCTCCTAGCTTTGGGAAAAGGTTCAAACCTCGAAAAGGCGATAGCAACAGCTGCACTCGTGTTCTATAACTCTGCAGGAGCAGATGGGAGACTCACCAAAGGAGAAGCAAAAGAAATGTTGCTGTCACAGTTTCAGGCATTCATACGGGTAAGACTTTGTACTGCTGGTATAATGCACCATTCTTGTCTTGCATTTGGGGCTAGGAAGGGGTTAAATCCAACTAAAAACAATAAGCTTTCATCTCACTTTCTGGTTATAATGTTAATTTTCAGAAGCTTTTACTGTACATGGCATTGGAATCTATTGTTTCTGAACCAATAAGTTACAAATGAGCATTTTTAAGGACAGAGAATAACTAGAAATGTTTAGCCTATAAATAAAAATAATATACAACAGAAAAGTGCAGCACAGTATGTCTACAATAAGTATATCAAAATAAGATGAGAAGGACACCTCCCTGCTTACCCAATTCTTGCTAAAAATGGGAAAGGTGAATACATACAGTTTGTAAAGTGTATGACAAATTGTGATAGTTATCTTTTAATTAGAACACAAATTCTTATAGTAATCTTTTAATTACAACAAAAAATGTTATTATAAACCTTTTACAGTGTAGTACAGATTATACCAACCACATTGGATGTTTTTGGTAGCTGAAATGTTGACTTGTGGTGTTTCTTCACTACAATCGCTGTCTTTCCCCTCAGATGTTTCCACCTTTTTAAGAGACTGGTTCATGAGACACTCCAGCAACTTCACTTTCTTAAATATGACAGCCTTACCAACACAGTGTAATGTTGCTGAATTGGTATGCTCCAGTTGTAGGGCTCTATCAAAGTCTGCCAGTTTGTCTGTCTTTCTCATTAAGACTGATTCTGACTTGCAACAGAAAGCTGCACATCCTCAGGAAGAATGCCAGGGAAATATTTCCACAGTGAGTTAATCAGTTGTGTGAGCAGAAGCCATCTTAGATCATGTTAAGGTTTTTTTTTTTCAGTTGGTCAGCTACCTCAAATTGTACTGAAATTTCATGGACTTCTGCCTCCTTTTCATTTCACTGCTTTTTGGTAGTTTAATGAGATTTCTTATATGTAGAAAGTACATGGAGGAGCATGGCCAGAAAACAAAGAATGAGCATTCCTATAGCAAGAGCCACTGAGATAGAGAGATTGTGTCACTGAATAACATTTCCTTGTCTACTAGTGTTTTCCTTTTAACTGTCAATGAAGAAAGGGTGTAATTCTTCCCTGGGAAAAAAAACAAACAACTTTTACATTTTAAATCACCGCCAGTGCAACACATTTACTAATGAATGAGCCTTCTGCTGTATGTCTTAGAACGCACCACAAAGCACTGAAAAGGGATACTAAGCATAAGCCTATTTTACAGGGTCAGGAGGGAAAACCGAAATACAAAGAGATCTTTGCAGACCTCAGTGAAGATAAAGAAAAGAAAATCGCTCTTGAAGACTTCATGGTTTTAGTAATCAGTCTCACTATTATGTCTGACATTTTGAAAGATATTCAGAAAGCCAAAATATAATTAAGTTGCAGCCATTTCCCAGTGAATTGATTTAAAAAAAAATGAAATGTGAAACATTTTTTTCTACTGTAAGGATTGCAAACCTTTTGCAGTGCAATGAATGGATAAATGTTCTGCATAAAGTGGAATGTTTTTCACTGAAAACCATAATTGTCACTTAGTCATTTTACATTAAACAGTTTTTGATAAATGTTAAATACACATTAGCCCAAAAAGGATAAACAAAAGTATCTGTTTACTCCATGTGTCATCTACATAAAGGACTTACAGTACTGCTGAAGGCTGAAGGCAACCTAAGGAGAAAATCAAGTTTAAACACTAAGAAATCAAAAAAGGGTTTTATTATATTTCGTATTTTTGTATTTTTGAAGTCTACTCTTTGTGGAGTATTTTGGCTCCACTGCTAAACAATGAAGAAAAAAGTATTGATCATTTAAATTTGTTATCTTTGTAACTCAATGAGTTCCACACATTGGAACACACTGTATGATTATATAAAGAATTTGTTTTGAAGTGTATTCAGATTTGAAGTGCATTTATTTTCATAAATAATCTTTACATTTCATCCATCTGAGATGATAGATTACTTCCTCTATGTTTCACTCAGTCCAGTTTCACATTGTTTAATTAACATCATTATTCATTTTCAAAAATTTAGATTTTTTTAACCATTTTTCAAAACCTCAATAAAAAATATTGATGTAAATTAAATAAATCTAATGTTCTTCTTGGTTCCAATCAACGTTACTCAATTTGTTATAAACCATCTGATATAAATTAATAATATCTAAGAATTTATTTCAATTAAACATTAAAATGAAGAACAAAGTAAAACAGACATATTGGACAGTATGCCTTCCTTGTGTGAATTTTCAGTTCACTGGAGTATGGAACAAGAGATAAAACCAGATTGAAAGTCACTGGAAAGTTGCTATAATACAAAAGCATTTACAGTTTGCCTCCTGCTGCAGTGGCATACAGTGTTCACCTTTATTTAAATAACAGTTTTCATTACCTTTGTTAAAAAGCTTAAATATTAGCAATAAGCAGCATTACCATCATTGTTTTAAATACTGCATTACACTTGTAATGTGTTTCTAACACTTTAGTCATGAATATAAATGTTTATTCACTACGTAAAATAGTAAAATAGAGTTTACCCATTTCTAGAAAGCTTCCTTTTTAGTCATTTTTCTCTATAGTATATGTATATAGTTTCTCCACTTCAAATAAAGTGAGAACTAGCTAATATGCTCTCTGCAAATCTGGAATTTTAGGAAAATAACTCTTTATCTGGTCCTTATCTGGTCTTTAGTAATTATTAGTGAATATAAGTGACTCTTGATTTCTCATATTCCTTTCAAAATAAATTTTAGAATTTGGACCAGGGACATGTAGACGCTAAGGACTGTTGAAAATAGATTAAATGTCAATTAACTTTGATTGGTGTGAACACAAATCATGGTGGAACAACAAGTTGTCTACAATATTAAATTCTCTAGGGTCTTTTTCGAAAAATGCATCAGTCCTGTGGCTCTGCAGTTATCTCAAAGGAATTGTGACATGTAATTCTCAGCTGGACACAATGTAATTATTCCAGATTCTAGGAAATGGAAAATGAATTTGTCATTCGCAGCCAGAAAAGCCAGCAGAATATTAGAGCAGGGGAAGATTCATTCCTTTTTCTACTGGATAACACAAAGTCTATTGCTTACCCCTTTGTTGTTTGTTTTTAATTTACATTTTAATAATTTCAGTAGGTTCATTGATTTTCAAGGAGCTTGGAGTTTACAAATGAGACAGCAGAACGTGCAGAAAGTGCAGTGTGAGAAGACTCACCTACGTGTGAATGGGAAACAATAAAAGTGCTTCGTGACTGGCGTCATTTCAGTTTTCAAAGAAAACCACTGTCGGCACAAGAGATTGCAGCCTATTTCTTTCTTAAAATAAGAAACATTAGAAAAGGAACAGGCAGAATGAGGGAATTTGTCCCATCTATCTCATTTCTGTAGGTAGTTGTGAAATGATTCAAAGATCTCGTTCTTAAAAGAAACTAGGGTAAAGGCTTCAACAACATGACTGGCAGCTTGTTATACTGTACACTCCCACAATCTTTTGCTTAAAAAGCCTCTCCTGCTCTTGGTTTTAAAACAGTTTTTCAGATGTGTCTTCTGGTTTATGTGTCACTGTTGACCCTCATTTGAGGTATTGAATTGGGTCCTTGTGTAATCCTCACTTTTTAAACTAAAACAATTCAGTTCTTTTATCTGTAAGTGTAGGACATTCTTTTACACCTGGAAATGTTGCCTTGTTAATCTTCTGTGGACTGATTCCAAAACAGACTTTGTTCTAAACATGTAGACCAAAATTGTATGGAATATTATAAATGAGGATATTAGTCTTAGTAATCCTATATTTTTTATGTATACTGAAGATCATATGATGTATAAAGTCAATATTTTTATCAAAACGTGAATGCTGAAACTGAATTCATGGGTAAAAAGAAGAAGAAAAACTGCAGAAACACCTTTAGCAGGAAATAACAGCCGTGCATCTTTTGGGTAAGTCTCTACTAACTTGGTATAGCTCAGTCAAAATTGGTTGGAAATTGTGGCTGGACAGCAAAGTCTTGCCACAAATTTTCTAAAGGATTCAAGTCAGGAGTTTTACTGGGCCACTCACATTCACAGTCATTCGCTTCTTGTTAAGTCACTCTGGTGTAATTTTGACCTTGTGTTGAAAAGTGAGTGTTCACCGAGTCTAAGCTTTTTAGAAGACCTAAACAGCCTTTCCTAGAAAATTTGCCTTAACTCCATCCATTTCCCCCCCAGTCTTGACTCCCAGTCTCTGCTGATGAGAAATAGCCCCAGAACACAATTCTGCCACTACCAAACATACTGTAACAGTGACTGTGCTGGGTTTTCACAAAACACTGCATTTTGAGCAAAAATGTCAATTTTTGTCAGACCACATAACAGTTGCCACATGCTTGCAATACCTCTTCAATGCTCTGTTGCAAACCCCTTGTGGGATTTGAAAATGATTTGCCTCTCTGTCGTACAGGCCAGCTTTTTTGGAATGACTGAAGTCTTGTTGACTAATAGATATTTTCTCTCATTTCAATTATTGATCACTTCTCATTAGTCATACTTTCAAAGTCTCCGATGGCCTCAAGGTGACATCCCTAACCGATTTCCTCTTTGCCCTGCTGCTCATTTAGGAATGACAGTTTGATTGCAGTGTCTGACTGATGCCTCCCACTTCTTAATGATTGAGTCACCGTGATCAAAGGGATATTCAGTGTCTTTGAATCATAGATGAAATCTTGAGCTTAAGAATTTTTAATCTGACATTTATAGTTTATGTTTCTGCTACCTGATGATAACGTCAGAAGATTGCCCAGTTTTGATGTGTGTCTAAATTGTTTTGAATTTCCTTTGCATTCTCTGCAGTGGTTTTTGCTTTATTTTCTTTTTTAAATCTGCAAACTATGCCAGAGCTGATATTCTTCCCATAGGTTTAGCATTGGTGGCATGACAGTGAGTGTTGGTTCCTAAGAGTGGTTGGGTTCAGGATGTGATTTGAAACTGCTGAGTCTTCTGTATGGAGCTTGCATGTTCCCTTGTGTTCCTATGGGTACTCCACACAATTCACAGACATTTTGGCTAGGTTAACCATTGTCTCTAAATTGCCCCTATGTGCACCCTGCTATGGGCTGAGCATGCTTAAAGGATGAGCTACCTTTTGCTGTGACCCTCGCCTGAAATAGAAGTAACTTTATCTTAATGGATGGATGTGATGAATTTTACTTGATCCTTGGTTCTGTTCTGCTGTTGTTATACCTGAATTTTACTTAATCCTTGGTTCCGTTTTGCTGTTGTTATACCTTTTGAAATAACATTTTATTATTTATTTTAGTTTTCATTGCAATATGTCTTTCCATCTCCCTCTGTCACACCCAGTACACCTAGATGGCGCTCTACTTCCCTCCTGTTCCTAGTTCCCTGTGATTATTCATGTCTTTCTGGTGTGTAGCCTATTTACTTCCTGTGTCTGCTCTGCTGCTCGCTCATCATTGAGGTTCGGATGTCCTGAGACCTGCCTAGCACCAGGTTGCTCCTCCTGTCCATGGCCTGTGGGCATAGGTTTCTATACGGCATTTCCTGAGCAGCTGAGCCTGGGCTAACCCCATCCCATGGCTACGCATAGGGTCTTTTTTCGCTGTCCTGCCATTCCACGGTTCATCCCTTCAGACATCCGTGACCCTTTATGAATGAGGGATTACTTTTTCACTAACTCTCCCCTGTTGTTTCTTCATTATTTTATTGTGTGTTCTTTTCCATTAATCAGATCCTAATTGACTTCTTTAACCATTTTAAATATACTGATGCACTATAAGTTATAGCTTATGTACTTTCACAAAAAGTTGTCAATTTGTTTAAAGCCCTCTGACCAGCAATGCAGCTTGTGCAGTGAGGCGTTGCAACTTGCCAGTCACACAAAAGCTCATTAGGTGCACTTTTAACCAACGAGGTCCAGGTGGAACAATGCCTGATCAGGTCACCTTTAAAAAGGAATTAAATCAATACTTAGGTCACAGCAAGAAAAAGGCCACACTTAGTCAGTTTTCTGTGCTTTCTATAATGCCTCAGATCTCAACAGAAGCAAGGGAGAGGGCCATTGGCATGCTGCAGGCAGGCATGTGATGTGCCAGCGTTGTCAGACACTATGGAGTAAGCCACTCCACTGTGTCCTGACTGCAGAGAAGGTTTCAGCAGACCGGCAGGACAGATGACTGTCCAAGATCCGGTCGTGCTCAAGTGACCACACCAGAGCAGGACCGACACATCAGACTGGTCCATGTGAGAGATTGTTTCAGATCTGCCACCCGTACTGCTGCTGAAACTGCCGGTAGACACGATGCCCGCATCAGAACAAGGCGTCCTGTCAGATGCCCTCTGCTCACACCTCCTAGACGTCACACCTGACTGGCTTGGGCCAGACAGAGGCAGCGGTGAACTCATCAGCAGTGACATCAGGTCTTCGTCACGGATGAGACACTCTTCAGCCTGTTCCATGCAGATGGGAGGACCAGAGTGTGTAGGAGAAGGTGTTGCATTTCTTTTTCCCATCAGTATATATTGTTTAGATGTAAGAGTCGGTCTTGAGATAAATCTGCTCTGTGCTTCAACTGTTGCTATCCATTCTCCATCCAGTTCCATATCTATCCTGTCCCATTCTATATCTCTTAACCTTAGCCACATTAGTTCATATTCTGCTTACTGAACCTGTAAGCTTTTGATTTGAATTCATTCACAGACTCAAAAACCTTTCAGTTTTTAGCTAAATCTGTTTTTTCTAAATCCTTTTTGAATAACTCCTAGAATCATATGATCATGAAATTGTATTTATTTTATATTTATTAATTCCACCAATTCTGTTCTTATTACCATTTACGTAGCTTGACATATAATAAAACTCAGTTCTGTTGATCTATAATTCCTTCGCTCAGCTTGTT